ACATCAAACCGACTGGAGAATTTGAACTAAATCAGGACAAGCTGTTGAAACTGATTAAACTATTATACGGTCTTGCAGATAGCGGTGACTACTGGGGCCGTACCATCAGTAATCACATAAAACAAGACTTGAACATGACCGGAACAACAGGAGATGGGGCATTTTTCTTCAAATGCATCCGAGGAAAGCTTGATGGCATGTGCATAACATATGTAGACGATGCCCTTCAAGCAGGCAGCAAAGAGTATTCAGCCTTTGCGCAAAAGACGGAAGAAAAGTTTAAATGCAAAGGGAGATCATACGATAAGTTTAGCTTCGTTGGAGTGCAGGTTGAAAAACACGACACCGAATACAGAATCCATCAGACTTCGTACATTCAAAAGACAGAGAAACTCATTAACACAGCCACGTACAAGGAATGTCGGTCACTAAGAGCAAAATTAGCTTGGATCACGTACACGAGGCCAGATATAAGTTTCAGCATTGCTCAAGCGGCCCAAGTTACTGACTCACAATATAAGACGGATCCGAAACTTCAAATCGGATACATTAATCTCACCATAAAACGATTGAAGAAAGAACCGTACTTGCCATTAAGGCCTAAGCTCTGTAACTATCAATTAGTCATACGAGTTTACTCCAACGCGTCCTACGCGAACAATTCAGATGGCTCATCTCAACTCGGATACATCATATTTTTATGTGATAACAGAGACTTGTGCCAACCACTCTACTGGTCCTCTCACAAGGCTAAGCGAGTATCCAATTCAGTTCTCGGCAGCGAAATAATGGCGTTTGCTGACTCTTTTGACATGGCCTTCATGATCAGATACGATATACAAAAAATGATGAACATAAAAATACTCATCATGATGTTCACTGACAGTTTGTCTCTATTCGATGTTATCACAAAGGCGTCAACTATAGCTGAAAAAGGATAATGATAGACCTTGAGGTAGTTAAAATGGCCTATCAACAAAACGAAATGGAGCAGATCAGATTCATTCGATCTGAGCATAACATAGCCGATTGCTTGACGAAGTCTAATGGTAACGTTGCCCTTGTCAAAACGTTGAAATATGCAAAAATCAATCATCCCGTGGATCAATGGATTGACAGAAGCCACACTGAGGATATGTCACGTCACAAGTAGAGGGAGTGTGGAAATTATCAGCTGACGGTGACGGTTACTGTCCGCCAAGTGCATCCGAATCGTTAAAAAAGGTGCATTAAATATGGACAGAATTTAATTGACCTCATCTGTCAACCTACAGTGCCTCTCTCAACGACTCTACTGATAATGCAATAACTCGTAATTATCAGCAAAGGAATCGCAAAGAAGAGAGTAAAACGGGAGGATGAGACGCGCGGGAGTAGTAGTATAAATAGTCGGAAGCCCGGGCAGGATAGCTGCTTGGGGCAAGCAAAAAGGACGAAACCAGCACAGTAAATTGACGCAAACATTCTCGTCCGGTTCTGCCGGTTAACACTTACTGTTTTTTTCTACTTTTGCGACACAAGCCTTGTTATTAAATGGACAGCAACAGGAAAGGCGGTACAGATGAATTGAACGAGTTTTTGACAACTCATACGTAGTTTATGATAAATTATGCGTCGTGGTCCTCTGTGATGGGCCAGACCTCAACTGTATTTGCCCCTGTCTAGGGGCAAATTCAGTACAGTCGAGGGGATAGTACCAAGCCACGAGGGGAGTACAGAGAAAAATCTCGATACAGTGACCGCTCGTGACAGTGACCCCCTCGGTACAGTGACCGATGGCCAGAAAATTCTTGCCACCATTGCCCTGTGTGCCCACAAAGCCCACTTTCGTTTTCTACAGTGACCCCCTCACTACAGTGACCTTTCCTGTTGAGTGACCCGTATTTGCAGTGGGTCACTGTAGAAAAAGTATATTTTTAATTGAAATTTGTAAGGTCACTCACGTAACGAGCTCGGAAAAAATGAGTCGACCGTTGACTGACGACGACAGCGCTTGCGATAGCCAACAATGTTCTCTATCTCAATGTCCAAAAGTGCCAGAAAATCATCCCTCATGGATTTTGAGAATGGATGCTCACTCTGGGCAAATAAATTTGCCTCCTTTCTCAAAGCCACAGCTGCTGCCTGCAAACGATTTAGAGAGGGCTTCTTTGCCTCACAGCGCTCTTCTTCTCTTTGTGCATCTGCCCCGGAGTCTGAGTCAGACTGCTCCGTAGGCCCTCGGACCTCTTCCGTGGCAGTAGAAACAGCTTCGTCAAGCGCATTGTCGCTTGAAACTGGCACGCAAATATCCAGGCCATCTTCCATCCTGCTAAACTCCTGCAAATATCCATTACTAAAACTTTCTACCACGTTCAATCGTGCCAACTCTTGCCAGTCGCTCATTAATAAATGCATGTTGTTTCCCGTCCATTCGCAGTCCCCCCATGCCTCATTGTGGTTCTCAATACCATTGTCTGTATTGTTTTCTTCCTCTTTGAGCCACTCCTATCCTTTTGCCTTTGCGCGTAACGCCTCCGATGCATTGATTGCAGACTCCGTAGAAGTAGCAGAGCTGCTAATCGCTTTCATTGCGGGCTCAGAGCGGTTGCCAACAGCAGTTTTTCGCTGCAAAATGTCGTCGCGTTGATAGGGTGCAACAATGCCAGTCGTTAGCCAACTGTTCAAAACCACGCTGATAGGTACCATATCCCATGTCTTCTTCATCATCACAACGGCATCGTATGTTGTAACTATCTGTGTAAGTTTAAAAGTAGAGCGCTGTTCCTCGGGCATTTCCATTTGCTTGTCCACGTAAGTGAGAATATGATCAACGAGCAGACGCCGGAAAGCAGATTTAAAAGAACGACCAATTGCAGCGTCAACAGGTTGCAAGACTGGGGACATATTGGGAGGAAGAGACACTGTGGACCAATTGTCATGCGGCGTGTAGTCAATTGCATGTGCAGAGCAATTGTCGACGACACTGATAACATTTTTGTGGTGTATACGGGTAGCTTTGTTCAGCCCAGTGACAATAGAAGTCCACAGCTGTTGAGTGTTCCAAGCATTCTTTTAGGATTTGTAAAATATTCCCAAATCCTTTGCTGCATCAAAATGTTGTGGAAAACTCTTCGGCCTTCTCGACTTTCCAATAATGGTGAGTGGCGCCTTTCGACCGTCCGCAAATACGGTTAGTACAGCGGTTAGGCGCTATTTCAGACGTGAGTATGTTGCTGGTTCATCAATGTTTCGAATCGCACGGCTTGGAAAGGAACAATACAGTACGGCAACTTCATCAGTGTTGGAGATGCATCCAATTGGAGAGGTGCAAACTGATCTCTGGATAGAACGGCGAGCCATGTACACTGTCTGTGAATCAAAGTGCCCTGCTTGTCCGGTGCCCTTCGAACTATGCATATTGTTGCGCCGCATAAACTTTGCAACCCACATTGGGCTGCCCTTAAATCCTTTTAAAGACTCAATTTTTGCTTTAAGGCGAGGACCTGATCTTCTGGTAGTTCTTCATCCAACTCCTTTTCGTGGCGTTCCATGATCTTTTGCGCAATGTCTTTAGCCGCTCTAGCAACAACATCGGCACGAAAGAGAGACTCGCCTTGCATGTATACCATTCTCTGTCTCATATAGGTTGCCACCGCCGATTCGACATCTGGAAATGTTCCGTCTTTCATTCGTGAAAGTTTACGGGACTTGCGGGTATGCAGCTCCTGTTCCATTATCTTTGTGGCATTTTTCTTCCAACTGAATATAGCATCTTTAGAATCGCTGTACTCTTTGGCCAAAGCGATGCACGTCCACGGAGAACTTGTAGAGTCGTTTAAAGTTGCAGCCCCAAACGATCCATCAGGTCTTGCTCCAAGGAGTCGGAGTACGTGCTGCTTAGTTTCAATGGTGGGTTGAGATCGTTTGCTTGATGACATGTTGACGTCTCTCGAATGTGGGATACGACGCTATGTGCGGTCGTTCTGTCTTGCAAACTATGTTCAAGATGTTTAAGTACAGCATGAAAGACTGTCGTAACGTTCATGCACGTGTACTCTACAGTATGTTTTGAGACTGGAAGAGTATGACACAGTGTCGTACTCGATGCTGATGTCAGGGCTTACGTCAGTGGCCTTCGCGGTAGCGAGAAGGCAGTTTTTGGATGGCCCTCAGCTCGTTGTTGGTGACACGAAGGTTGTTTTTTGGTTACTTTCAAGACTATTTGAGTTTCGCGCCAGCTTTGAGCTGCATCAGATGGGTGCAGGCCCCAGTTTTATTAGCTTTTTAAGTTGTCAGCTCTGTCAGCTGGACCTCACCGCTTTGTTTGGGGCCGTTGCGGGGCACCTGCATCCAGCTCCAGTACAGTGACCCTCACCGGTACAGTGACCCTAATGGCCTTTCCGGGTCGCCACCTTTAGGGGCCACTGTATCGAGATTTTTCTCTGTACAGTATCCGTCTGGACAACTTAACACGTGTAAGAACCGTGTTCCGGCCGTAGGGGTGCAATACTGGGCATATGCATTGTCCAAATGTGCATTGTCCAAATGTGCATTAATGAGGGCACCCCCTGTATACGGAAAAACATCTCCAATTTCTCGCATCTGTCGGTCCAGCGAAGTCTCCATTGGGCTGTACCTAATTTTCTCTAATTTAAAATCAACATATGCGCCATGGGTGAAAAATGCTCCGCCGAACGAGCATGCCGCCATCACATGGAAAGCGACTCCGGAAGAGCCAATGAAAGGTGACGATTGGTGGAGAAATATTCCAGTTAAATTTGTCCAATTGCGTCGTGCTACATTGTCGCCAGACCCATCTATTCCTCGGTGCTCGTCCAATCCCCGCTCACCTCAAGCTCCGCCACATTTGTACCCGAACTTTCTCGTTCATCCCCTCCATCTCCCTCACACGCCTTTCTACTCCCTGCCCCGTCATCACCGTCGCCCGTCCCCATCCCCTCAACTCTGCCCTCTGCCCTCTCCCTCCAAGCGCTCCGCGTTGCGGAGGATCCCCCAGCATGTCTACCACCGCCTTCGCCTCTCCAGCACGCCTTCCGATGCCTGCTGGCTCCCTCACCCTCCTGTGCAGGCCGTACAAACCCGCCATTACCCATCGTCGTCCGCGCCGTCGCTCAACTCCATACGCAGCCCTCGGCGCCTCCTCAAACCCCCCAGCAGACGATTCGAACCCCCCTACCCCTCCACCCAAGAATCGTGATGCAAACCAACCGTCTGATTTACCACCCTACGACCCAGGCGCCCCAGGCGCGGCCTCTGTATCACCGTCCGATGCCATATCGTCGCCGCCCCCATCCTCGCTGGCAGACTCTCCATCGTTTGCTGCCCTCCGCGATCCCGCTATCACAGTAGAAATCTTCAAATCAGTCCCGGCCTCGCTCGTTGACGCTTCTGGAGCCCTACAAATAAGCGACGGCTCCTTCGGCGCCTCCCCTGTCGTTCCACGCCGTCTCGTCCGTCGAAGACCCACTGGAAAGAAGAAGCTCGACTTTCAATACCTGCGTCGTCAGCTTGCTGCGGGGTTCGACTCCGGCGTCGGCGCCACTTTGCTGCTCATGGCGCTTTTCGTTTTGTGGTATTGGTCGAACACCGTGTTTAACGTCTACAATAAGCAAGTCCTCAAGGTATTTCCATATCCGCTTACATGTACAGTGGTGCAGTTTGCCGTTGCAGGAGGCGTCATGGCCGCGTTTTGGCTCTTTCGGCTGAAGAAGCCGCCAAAGCTCAACGGCTTCTTGCTTCGTTTTGCCACCCCCTTAGCTGTGTTGCATGCAGCGGGCTTTTTACTCACTAACATGTCGCTGGGGAAGGTTTCCGTCGCGTTCACGCATACCGTCAAGAGTACCGAGCCATTTTTCTCGTTTGCACTCACGCCGTCGATATTGGGTGACATTCCTACGTGGGGAATTTTGGTCTCTTTGTTTCCCATCGTCGCAGGTGTCGCTCTCGCGTCGGCTAATGAAGTGTCGTTCAATTGGATCGGCCTTTTTGCTGCGCTCGGTTCTAATCTTGCCCTGCAGTGGAGGAATGTTTTGTCCAAGAAGCTGATGGACACAAGCAGTGGTGATAGAACTGCCACTGATCGGAATGGAAAGGAGAGAATAGTCACTGAGGAGGAGGAGTCTACGTTAAGTTCGCTTGATAACGTGAATTTGTTTTCCACCATGAGCATACTGGCTTTCTTCGTTCTCTTGCCTATCTGCTTTTTTTGGGAGGGCGTACCTCTTGCCGGCGCTGCGGTGAGTCAGGCGACCACGGGGATCAGCACAACAAGGCTGTACCGAATGCTCACAGTTGCGGGTGCCTGTCGATGCCTTGACGTGTTGAGTAGCTACATGATTTTGCGGAAAGTCAGCCCTGTGACGCATTCCGTGGGCAACTGTGTAAAGCGGGCAGTCGTTATCGCGACATCTATCATCATTTTCAAGACGAAAGTCAACGCCCTCAATATCGCGGGAACGCTTCTGGCGCTCTTTGGTGTGTTTATGTACTCGATTATAGTCTCGGCTTGCAAGCAGAACTCGTTCGGACCGGATTCACCGTTTTGCAAGCCCATCTATGAGCCGGAGCTGGAGCTCACAGAAGGTGGTGGTATTTAAGGTTTTCGAGGTTGCAGCAAGGTCTCTGGGCACAAAACGGAGCGTTCGCGGCGGAGAAAGGTTGCGGACAAGGGCAGCAAATGGTTCCCAGCGAGTGAAAGTTGCACGCACAAACATCCCATCTTTATTGTAAGAAGACCGGTCAACTGAAACGAACATGCACATAGCGTGGTTCTTAGCGCAAAGAACATAAACAGTTCCTTCTACCAACACAAAGGCCCATACAGGCCTCGTTGCGGGTCAAGCGCCGTACTTTTTGAGTAAGCCCGTCTTCGACAGCGGCTCGGCAACGGCCTGCTCTAGTCTTAAAAAGCTTTCCCCAGGCGCGGAACCCGCATGCCCGAGTCTTGTCCTATCATCCCTCCTGACGAGCCCCTCCCCGCTCCACGCGACAAAGCCGGCGAGCTGTGTCTCCTCATCACCAGTCTCAAAGCTCTGACGCGGGAGGGGGAAATCACAACAGGGACCTTTGCGACGCGGCGAAGGTAGCATATCATCCCACTCACCGCGGCCGACGAGCATGACGCCTATGATCGCGGACGCTGTCGGGGCGACGTCGGGGTTGGACGCGCGTGTCGGCTCGTGCTTGAAGCGTGCCGGAAAGGCGGCTGCAGCTTCGGTGACGGCCGCTTCTGCGAGATGAAGGTCGGAGCCTGCGTCTATGAGGAAAACGCGGGTGCCGGGGGATGGATTGGCAAGTTCGGCGGCAGTGTCTTCGGCGGGCAGCGAGACAATGCCGGAGGCGGAGGTGATGGAGACAGCCATTTGATAGACTTGAGGGCACAGGGAGGCTGCGCCGGCGGCGGAGGTAAGCTCGGAAGGGGTGAGCATGAGGCCTGTGGTGACGCCTTCATCGACGATGCGGTCTGCGTGAGGTGGGGAGTTGGGATTAGAGGAGAAAGGGTGGTGAGCGTTGGCGTGGACGTTGGCGTTGCATAGTTTGCGAGAAGGTTTATAAAGAATGAGGAGAAAGAACGTACCTAGGGTAGGTGTTGCGGGTTTGGAGGCGTGTGTGAGAATCTCGGCCAAGTGGTCGCCGTACACGAGTGCGAGGACTGCGGTATTGGTAAGTGGAGGCATGATGGAGTGGTTCCTTTCTACTGTTGTTGGTTGGCGGGAGCTATCTGAGGCTTTTGTGAATTATCTTTCGGGGGTGGGCTACACGCTGGACAGGGAATGTTGCCCTGGGCCTTGCAGATGTGACAGGTGCGCCAAACGGTGGCCTCGTTGACTTCGAGAAAGCCGAAGGTATTACAAAGGGTGCAAGGGAGGGTCTTGCGGTCGGCGCACTGAGGACAAACTTGTGTAGGGGTGGCGTCGCGGGCGGTGGAGAAGTTGGCGGCTGGGGGATGGCGAGATGTGCGGGGAGCTTGAAAGGGAGGGCGGACCAAAGGCGTGCAGGGCTTAAGACGACCGCGGGCGAGGGGAAGGGAGGGGATGAAGGCCATTGGGGATTGGCGGTAGGCGGAGCGCTGCAAGCTGGGAGAGGGAAGGATGCAGGCAGCAGGTGGAGCGCGGTTGATGGATGAAGTGGCGGCGTACGGAGGTGGAGGAGGGGAGGGAGAGGAGGACCTGATGTGTGATGGTGATGGTGATGGTTGTCCCTGGCCACAGGGATCACATGGGACGATCTCAACTGCCGTACAGTACGTACTACAGTCCATACCGCTCAATAGTGCAGTACCGTGCCACGCGGTTATATACTGCACTATTGGCGTATTACACTATTTAAGGGAAGATCTCGCCAACCACTTTTACAGCATACTGTACAGTAGCTTTACTTGAAATGTAGTGACATGTACTGTAAGCTGCACACGTGTCGAAAGTCGTGACAAGCGGCTTTGACCTGCACTATTGGCGGTTTGCACTAATCAAAACTGCACTATTGAGGAGGTAGTCTCTGTACCAAGTGTAGCGCACAGTAAAGTGCCCTTGGTACGGTATTGGTGCCCGTTTGGACAGTTCAGCACCGTGAACAGAATTGTAAACAATTCTGGTTGTACTGGACTGGCGGAGAAGGTTGGTGATTGGACCGATGATAAACGGCACGTGTGCCAACGATGCCATTCAGAGGGATCGCAATACACGTGGAGGACACGCCGGACTCTGGTGTGTGTACACGTGGGGTGCGCTTTCGTTCTGCCTGCAGTCTTTCGTTCAGGCGGGGCTGCATTCAGCCATTTTTCTGGACCGACTTTTTCGTGGGGACCTTGTGGAAGGGAGGGAAAACTTCGATTTACACCTCATCTCGCTGTCTCGGGGGGTCGGTCGCGCCCCTGTGCAAGGTCTGCGCGGTGCAGTGTAATGGTTTGTAGGCAGTATTGCGCCAAAAAGGCCTTTTCTTGCCCCAGAACATCTCCTTCGGACCATTTAAAGGCTTATTCCGAGGCGTATGGGACGTCCACGCGGTTTGGCGCCAAAACGGCCCACCTTAACCCTCGCCACCGTTGGCGACGCTCCGCAGTAGCTTTGATCCGCTTTGAGGTGCTTTGCGATACCGCCCTACCTCTCACCGTCTACTGTACTCGGAAACTCGAACACGCCCGCTCCATATCCGCGCCCCGCGTCAACGTTCTCACGCTCTACCCCAATGTCCCAACCCCCGCGCGCCCGGCCGCGCCGCCACGCCATCATCGTCGGCGCAGGCGTCGCCGGGCTCGCCGCTGCACAGCAGCTTCTCGCCTCACAACATGACATCCAAGTTACTGTCCTCGAGGCACGCAACCGCGTCGGCGGCCGTATACTCACCACATGGCTCAACACCGTGGAACATGACCCAGACCAACCGCTACAACAAGCCCCGCACGATCGACCGCCAGACCCCGCCGCTCCGGACCCAAGTACTGCCCCGACAGCTGATTTACACTCCGCCGCCGACGTACGCGACTGGGCTCCGAACACAAAGTCTCCCAACCCCGCCCTTGCCCATCCGTCAAGTTCCAAAGAGACTCCTCACGCGCTTCCATTCGCTGCCTTGGTGAACGGCACCTTCAACCCACCGCGCGAAACTTCTGACGCCGCTCCGCTTACGGCCGTAGACATTGGCGCCTCCATCATGCACGGCTGCGGCGACGACAGCCAGCACGTATTCCATCGCGCCATTCAGGAAAAGATTCGTGCCCCCGTCGTCGCCGGCGGTGGCTTCTATGAAAGCACCGAACACGCTCTCTGGTTTGATCAAAACACTGGCAAGCGTATCCCGTCGGAGAAGGTCGTCGAGGTCCATAATATATTCTTCATGGCCAGCAGGTACATGGCCGCTGTGTCCGCTGTATCGGACGACGGCGCCGCCGATTTGCAGTCCGTCTTCGATTGTGGTGTCGAGTATGTGTGCGATCAACTGGGGGAGAGAAAGTTGACAGATGTCGAGCATGCGATCATGAAGAAGATCTGCGCGAGGAGCGTAGGGTATTGCTCCTCCATGGATCGAATGGCCTTGATGCAGGCCAGTGCTGGTATGGATGCATCCTGCTCAGACATTCAGATTGGCTCCCAGTTTGATGAGGACGATCCGCCGTATCCGGGTGAGCTTCCAGCAATGTCTGCGAATGGGATCCGTCAGCAGGCCGCACGATTGACGAAAGCTGTCATCAACACTCAAAAGCCGCCAAAGCCTATGATTGCGAACAAACGCGGAGGTAGCGGAGATCGAATTGTACTCGATGGCTACACTCCTTTTCTTATAGACAAGTTGGCGCATGGCGTCGATATCCGCCTCGGCCAAGCTGTTTGCGGAGTTGCCAAAGTGCACAAAGCCGTTGTTGATGAGGGAACATCAGAGATCGGAGAGGCTCAGGGGTTTAGCGGCACAAAGTCAAATGATCCCCATGCGACATCTCAAGGCGTTTCAGATGTCCACTCAAGATCCATAATCGTTTCGACTCGCACTGGTGATGTGTATCCAGGAGACTTTGTTATTATGACGGTCCCGCTTGGAGTCTTGCGAGGAGAGCATGCAGAAAGCTCAGTCCAATTCTCCCCCCCTCTCTCATATGACAAGGTGGAAGCAATCGGGGGCATGGCAATGGGGGTCCACAACAAAGTGGTCTTGCGCTTTCGAAAGCAAGACGTATTTTGGCCCCCCAAGATCCCACAGCTCAACTGTTTAGACCCTAGGTTTCAGTTCTTTAATCTGCACAGCTACGGGAAAACTGGAGTTCTTCTGGTGCAAGTATTCGCTCAAAGCGGGTTTGCCAAGGGCTTCAGCGGTCTCTCTGATGCTGGGGTAGTGGCGGAAGTACTCACCGTTCTTGGTGGTATGTTCTGCAAGCGAGAGCGGAGCAACGACACTTCTGTAGATGATGCTGCTGCCCAAGCAGCCAACAAAACCTCAAAAGAACGAAGAAGAGTTGCACAGCTTCTCAACATCTGTGAAAAAGTTGATTGTGGAGCTGCTGTGACCAAGGACACTTCGCAGGGTAGAAATGGGGGTGGTGTACAGTGTAGCTCTTGCGGACTGGTCATGGATTGGGGACCACAAGCAGAACAGGACCAAAAGGCTCCCTCGAAACGACCTGAGCATTCGGCGAGGCTGCGTCAGAAAGCAGCAAAGATGCACGACCATATGGATCAGCGCGGAGATGAGAAGGATCTTGAGGAGATTGAGTTAGGGCCCCAGCAACGCAGTCTGACATGGTCAAAGTTTCCAGCACCAGAAGAGTACATCGTCACACGATGGGATGAGGACCCGTATGCCCTTGGCTCATATTCATTTATGCCTTGCGGTTCAAACTGGCAGATGATTGATCAGATAGCAACACCAGAACCACCAGACGACCCTCATCCGTACCTCTTCTTTGCGGGAGAGCACTGCAGTGATTTGGGATGGCAGTGCGTCCATGGCGCCTATGAAACAGGGCTGAAATCAGCGCGGAGGCTCTTGGCTTGCATTGAGAGCGTTGATGGTGCCCCACCCGTGAGAGATGAGGGCTTACGAAACGCAGAAATTGCAAATGCTGAACCAGCGGTCAGCGTTGTGACCCAGCCTACCGTGACGCCACGGGCATTGGCGAAGCGGCGAAAGTCACAGCTACCGCCGAATAGCTCTCCCAACGCATTTTGGACAGATGAACGAGAAAGGGCATTAACGCGAGCTTTGATCGGATATTCAGATGTATACGGGAATTTCATGGATCTGGTCGATGAGATGGCCTTCGCGCTCTTCAACTTCAAGAAGGAACCGACAAGTCTGACCCAAGAGCAAGTTCTGGAACTTGTTCATGAACGAATTGAAGAAAGAGCTCGTGACAATGATAAGGAAGCGAAAGCTTTTCTACATTTCCACAGCCCAGAAGTCGTGGCAGGCCGAGAAGGAGCGTTTCCGAAACGCTTCCAGGAGCTGACTAAGAGACAAAGAATGGTAGGCCTAAATGGGTCGATACTGAAGGATCGGTATGCAGACGAAATCGTCCGTGAACTGAGGCTTCATGCTGAACAAGTATCCAACAATGAAGTCTCGTACAGAGAAACGCTTCGAAAGATTGCGATGAAGTTGTACATGAAAGATGGGGGCTTGATGACTAAGAGATGTCTCTCCGAGTACTTGCGGACTCAGGAGTTCGGCACGGGTCCGCAGAAGGAACTTTACATGGCCAAGTATCTTCCAGTCTTGAAACGCTGAGGGGGAATGCTTAAATCTGTTACCGCAACTGTCATTTTGCGCAGCCGCGTCACCCGATGAATCGTGGTAACCTAGGTGATCGTTTTCGTCTCTTCATCATAGACCGCAGGTAACGGAGTCAATGTACAGCCGGATGATCCAATAACAGCAGACGTTTCACATATGTATACCGATAGAAGGATGAAATACCGGAGACAAGAACGCCCGAAATAAACATATTACCTAGACGGGTCTTGGGTGATGGTTTGGAACTGGCGTGCTGGAGGCCTTCTACTGCGCGGCAGATGGACAACAGGATTCGAGCTCTGTAACTGACGTCGTCAATTTGAGTATTTGCAGCTGGAAAAGTCTTGGCTGCTTTTTCAAGCAGAACGACAGATTGCTCTAACTACGACCCGAAATGATGAGGCATGTAAACGTGTTCCGAATCTCATTTGTACTGGTACTCAGGACAGCAGCCTCCTGGCAGGTGGCTACCTAGTCTAGTTTCTAGTGTATAAGAGACCGTCATGTTGTTACATCGGGATGGAACAGAATTCAGTGCGCGCTTGGCCTCACATGAAGCCCGCCTTCCTTTGTTGATTAAATCCAGCCGGTACAGTCGACTATCCGCTTGGGATTAACTGTGCTCCTCAATTGCTTTTCGCAACTGCCATGACGTGTCACCCTCCAGTAGCGGGCGCTTCATCTTCTATTTGCAAAGCAGCAGCCTCTGCGATAGGTGCATCCGGGGCATCATTCTGTTCTTGGGAATTTACATAAACCTCTTTGTTAACCGATGAACCAGTCATGCCGTCGGCCTCAGAGTCAGGCTCCTCTTTCTCAAGCCGCGGCGGCTTGAGGTCATCACCGCGATCCCCGCTGTTTGCCTCATCTTCCACACCACGGCCGTCATCCTCCTCTTCGTCATCCTCCTCGCTCGAAGTCATGTCAGGAAAGGGATTGTACTCCCTCTCCTTCCTCTCCCTTACCTCTCTCTCACACGTCTCAATGTACTCATTCTGCACGCTAACAACTTCCTTTCCATTCTTACAATCCGCGTAGGCATCCAAAAGCTCCTTATTAAGAGTGAAAAAACCGTCGCCCCACACGAACTTGGCCATAACATTTCTTGCCTCCTCCCCGAACCCTGCTATATGAAGGGCGGCAGCGAGGGCCTCCGCGCACGACAAGCGCAACGGTTTCCCATAATTGACCGGATTAGCGGCGATGAGAAATGGGAGGAGGCGATCAGCGCCCGAGCGGAGGCGATCAAAAGGTACCTCATCCAGGCGTGCCCACGAGCAGTCGACGACGCCGAGGCCCGCAGAAGCTATCATCGGGGCGTCCTCGCGTGAGATGGCGTTAGCGCCTTGGGGGGAGAGAACAACGCCGGGGATGGAGGTCGTCGGTCGGACGGAGCGAACAATTCCGTGGCGCGAAAGCTTGCGGCCCGTGCAGCGACGGGCGTCGCAATGGTTGAAATCCCACATGGAGAGGGGGGGACCATTGTAGCCTGACGAGCCAGAGGGCGAGTCGTCGGGGACGTGATGGCGATTGGAAGACGTGCGGCCGCCATGGCGGCGGTGGTTTGTGCGGCCCATGAGAGTCTTGCTTTATCTTGATGGAGAGATCTTGGTGATGCTACGGCGAGGAATGCCGCGGGGCGGGGGGAGGAATTAAAGTACGTTCGGTATGCCTCTGGCGTTAGTTGTGTTACTGTACAGTAGTCAAGAGAAAATGTGCGGTTGAATCCAAAAAGCGTCATTGCTGTGGGAAAAAGCATCGCTGCATGGGCTTCGTTATTTTTCCTACGCCCCCTCGTCTATACGTCTTTACCCATGGCGTTCCTTGCGCCACCATGCCCATCTCCCCTCTCATGGATACGGCATTCCTCTTCGCGCTAGCTCGTCAACTGAGCGCCGCGCGTGAGCGCCTCTCCCTTCGCACGGCCGGCAATCTTCCGTCGATAACCGACTTCGTTTTTGCCCTCCGCCACTACATCGCCCGATGCGACCGCACCCGTCTTGAAACCCGCTCCCCCGCTCCCACACATTCTCCTGGCTCTCCACGCTTACCATCAATCGCCTCACTGGCCTACTATGTCGCTCTCGCTCATGCCGCATACGCATCCGCGGAGGACGACCTCACCGCTTACCTCGCCGTCGTTGGTGTCGCTCCCTCGCTCTTGACCGTCAGAGAGAGTGGCAAATGGGCGCCCGGATACTTTGTCGCCCGCGATATGAGGTATGATAGAGTTGCCGTTGTTGTGCGTGGGTCTAAGGAGCTAGCGGATATGGTCACCAATTTGTCGGCTGAGGTAGAGCCGTTTTTGGGCGGGTATGGTCATCAAGGCGTCGTACGCTCGGCCTACAACTTATACGAACACCTTAGGCCAACACTTACCGAGTTGCTAGATCGCTTTGAACCGCAGGGTGGCCTTGTCATTGTAGGCCATTCGTTAGGCGGTGCTGTAGCCTCCGCTTTAACGATGCTGTTGAGAGATGTCACGCATGATAGAGAGTTTGACCATTTGAGTGTGTCGGAGAGGACAAGAGCGTCGTTTTGCTCTACCAAATGCTACTCGTTTGCGCCGCCGCCGTTTTTGAGCGAGGAACTTGCTCAGCGAACTAGGCGGAGCATCATTACCTTAGTGAGCGGTTTGGACGTCGTCCCGCGCCTTTCCGCAGCGTCGCTGGATCGCTTCCTCGTTGCTGTTTCGCAGTACAACTGGGGACGTGATGTCAGCGAATCTATAGGTCGCACAGTGGAGAATGTCGCCACGGCCTTTCTGGATCCGAGCAATGCAAGCGCAATCGCGGACACAGTGGTGCAGCATGGCGTATCTGGTATGTCGCTGGCGACGGGCGCCATCTCAGCCACGGCCCGCGCAACGCTGGAGCGTCCGGAGCGGGAGCAGCAATCGCCGCTGTGGAACATGGCCTTAAACGCCACCATGTTCGTGTCGTCGCTGGTAAGCAGCTCGCTGGCGGATGGGCAGAGTCGATCGTTAGTTAATGAGAGACGACGCCCGGACTATGCTTTTGCGAGGCAGTTTGGCATGTCAGTGGAGGATATTGATCGAGTTTTGGTCCAGGATGCGCCGCGAGAGGTTTTCTTGGCGGGGAGAGTGTGCCACTTGGATAGGCGGGTGAGGGAACCGGCTACAAGCGGGATGGACCTTTCAGAGCTGCCGCCTGCTGTTCTCGTGTGGAAGGATTGCGCGCATTTCAGGGATATCGAAGCGTCGTCGTGGATGGTACATGACCATAGTATATCATCTATTCTTGCTGCATTGGAAGCGATGCAGCCTTAGCGAATGTTTTTATTTTCGAGTTGGAGCAACTGACATAGCGAATACTGGACACAGCAAACAAGCTATGTTTTATCACTGCATTTGTACACCACCCATACGTCAGAAGATGCAAGCCTGATGGTTGACGCCAGTCGGCTTGAAAAACTATGATAATTGCGGACGCCATCGTTTTGAGGCACCTCTAGTAGTTTTCTATCGATGTGGACAATGGCAGCAATACCAACCGTGGCACGCGTGACATGGCTCACGAACCATGTTCCATCTGAAACAAGACCCACCCGGAACTCAGTACCGTGTCAGAAGTCTAGCCTTTCACCAGTTGAAGTCTTACATTTCCCCGTGGCTTCGCAGGTGAAGTCACACCGAATAACCTCTACGACCTGATGCCGAATTCAACAACTGGGGCAAACATTGAGAGTGTACCTCGAGAAGTCCGCTCCTCATGTGAGGGCTGTGAACAGCCCTTAGCTGTACCCCATTCCTCAAGAGATATGCGCACATCAATGCGACAGTTTGCCACTCCAGCGTGGATAATGACACCTTATACTGTACCCTGGGTAATATGCGTGTACCCTTCGAGGTACTGTTGCTTTGCCCTTCCATCAATATTGAAATGCGACTACTTTACATTTTTAACATTAAGTGAAGAACTTGTTATGGGGAGCAATCCTTAACTTCTCCTGCAACGCATGCTGGACAATGCCATTCAATACGCTTTTCACATCCAGTGTTGCATAAATAACCTTAGACAACGGTTGGTATGGATCCGTCAAGTCGAGTAAGCCTCCATCGTTATTCCCACGCGGTTCTGCCCAGTTACAAGTGTTGACATAGCCCGACCAGAACCGACCTAGTTGCCGATTTTGGTTTTTTTCATTTGATCGAGCAGTGGTCCGAAGGCCATGTCATCATCATTCACACGAGTGGGTTTTGTGCCCTTCTGAACTTTGTAGTCTTTCATTTGCCTTGCTTGTCCCTCAGCCTGCATCACGGGTACAGATTGATTTCCTTGTGGAACAGGCTGGTAAGCCCCCATCATACCCATGCGCTGCATCCCATTCATGGGCGCCATGCCTCCCATACCATTTGCTGTGCTCTGCTGCTGCATCTGATACATGGCCATCTGCTGATTCGCCATCTGTTGGTTGGCCATTGTCTGATATGCAGCCATGGACTGGTACGCCATCATCTGTTGTTGTTGCTGTTGCATCGCAACAGAATTGTACAAATGTTGCTGCGCTTGCCGTGCTTGTGCGTGAGGGTTCTGTGGCTGTTGCTGTCCGTACATTGCAACTTGCATATTTGTGCCATCTACACCAAAGCCGCTTCGCTGTTGCTGCCCACCACCGTGTGTTGTAGCAGCCATAATCCCTTTCACATTTGCGACTCTATCATCCACTGTATGCTCAAGGGTTGCCGGCTGGTACATTCCAGGAACGTTTCCCTGAGCTCCGTACACTTGAAGAGCCATTGCAGGTTGTGCCGCCGTTGCCATGTTGCCATGTCCATTAGCGGTAACACCAGTTTCGATCCCTAACAGGTCGGCCAAAGGATCGAAGGGCTTCGGCGTGGGAGCCGGCTTCGGTGCGGTTGGTAGCACATCCGTGTCATCTTCCTCCTCTTCCGACGAAGATTCCTCAGTGCTCGCCTCAGACTCAGACGACGAAGACGAGACCGGAGGTGGTGCGCGGGGCCGCGGTGGCGGCAACTGTTCAGGTTCTTCCTCGGAATAGTACACGGGCTCTGGCTCATAGTAGTCCTCCGGCACTGGTTCAGGTTCCGGTTCCGGTTCTGGCTCATCATACTCTTCTTGGTCTGAGTACTGAGGATCTTCAGGAACCTGAGGTCCCCTGTCTATGTACTCCTGCATCGAGTCCATCAGTTCTAACGAAATAGCGCCTAATTCAGGAATCTGCCATCTCAACGGAAGCGATCTAGCGTTTTCAAAAAATGGTTGTGCATTCGAGACCATGGCTACGAAACGCTTGTAAACATCTAACGCAATCACTGCTTTCGGGATATCAAGCTCAAAATAGAGATCAAGCAGGCGTATTAACCCTTCTGACAGCGTAATCCAGAAAATGGTCATGTCGCGCAGAATCATAGTGAAAGCAGGGTTGGCGACTGGTGAGTGACGGGTCTGGCCTTGGAGCTGCAGGCCAAGCAAAGCGTCAACGGTGTCCATTACTACTGGTAAAGCCGCTAAAAGGTCCTCGATGCTGGCATTTCGATAGAGGCCGGTAAGAGCAGTATCGTCTTCTTTGGATTTGCCGGGTGGAAAGTTGATTGCGGCCTTCATTGTGAGCCACTGTTCAATATAAGCGCCGTAGGTCCTGATAAAACCAGAATGCGCAAAGCCTTCTGAACTGCCATCAGCAAAAAAGTCCATCTTAAACATGGAGCGATAAGTAACGGCCACATACTCAACAAACTTTTCGTTTCCATCCCGAAAGATGTGATGGAAAATGGTGAGGGCTTTGATGACGACCACCCAATTGCTCAACATCAGTCGCTTTCGCAAGTGGTAGAAGATCCCCCCTACTGGGCTCTCGCGGTTTGAGATGCTACCGCCAAAGCGCAAACCCTCCATGATGACACGCACGTGTTTGCCTTTTGGCGGGACAAGGTGATGACTGGTGGCCTTGACACAAACGATCTTCCAGTTATCTTGCTTGGCGGCAGCCATAGTGCTCTTCAAGGTGTCTTTCAGTTTTCCTTGCATGTTTCCCTTCTGGCGCGACGACATGTAAAACTGATTGGAAGCGTCCATCCCTCCGACGTCCGAGTACTGAGAGGTAGAGCCCCCCGGCCTTGACGAAGCGTAGGCATTAGTGAGGTAAGGGTTCTCCACTCTGCCGCTGGTCGATGGCGCAGACAGAGGAAGTGAGGAAGAGCGAGAGGGTGCAGGGGGTGTGACTTCGGGAGTCGCGTTGGTAAATGATGACGTGCGAGGCCCTGGTTTGTCCTGTATTGAAGGGGCGGATGGGCGGGGTGGTGGAGCATTCATGCCCGCGGCAAACGAGTCGTAGGCGGAGCGGGATGAAGTGGAGCGGATCGGAGCCCCGGCGGGGCGGCCGGAGCGGTAGTCCTCGTAGGACATGGTAGTGACGGTGTCTCACGCGAAAGAGGAGGATGAGCTGCTCGCGGATGTTAGGTGAATGCGGGGGGGTGGGGGAGCGGAGTGGGGGAAGAGGCCGGGGATAGGTGGCCACACAGGGGAAGAAAAGGGAAGGGAACGGCTGAGATTGAGTATGCTAAGAAGTAAGGGAGAATGGAGGAGAGAAAAACTAGGGTTACATAGAACGTTTCGGGACGGGGTGAAGCGTCTGGAGAAAACGGGAGGCACTGAAACCCGGCAAAAAGGGCGCCTGTGGAAGACGTCTTCGACCAGATGGCACACTCTTTCGTGTCTGTGCCGTGTCCCATGTCCCATCCACCTCCTACTTCACTGTAATACGGCATGCATTAATTTCTTTCAGGGTGTTGTAATTAATTTGAGAAACACGCTGTCAGCCAGCTTTTCAATCAACGCTTGTTGCGGCCACAATGATCCCTTCCTCCTCCACCGTCACGGCATCCAGACCTCCGTTACGTCTTCTAACCGACCTGCGGTGCTAGCCGTTTCTACTAGTGTAGCCGCAGTCGCGATCCGCGTGCGGTCTCCCAGCTACTCACCATGGCGATGGTTTCTGACGAGCGAGCGCTCGCCAAAATGAAGGACGAGGATCTCATCCTTTCCCCGTTTGATGGCATCGAGAAGGGAGCTGTTCTTCAGGAATGCCGTATTTTCAACGATCTCCAATTGAATACACGCCGCTGCGAGCAAGTCCTAATCCGTCTTTTGTACCTCGTTGGACAAGGTGACCATCTCTCCTCAGAGGAAGCCACCAACGTCTTTTTCTCCGTCACGAAGCTCTTCCAAGCAAACGAGCCCTCCCTCCGCCGTCTCGTTTATCTCGCCATAAAGGAGCTCGCCCATACAGCAGAGGAAGTCATTATCGTCACTAATTGTCTTACTAAGGATATCAATTCGGATGTCGACATGTATCGCGCCAACGCGACTCGCGTCCTTTGCAAAATCACAGACGCCCAGATGGTTCAGCAAATCGAGCGTTATCTCAAACAGGAGATCGTCGACCGCAATCCCGTTGTAGCCTCTGCTGCTTTGGTCTCGGGCCAGCAGCTTATCATGCACAATAAGGGCGACGTCGTGCGTCGTTGGGTTAATGAGGTCACACAGGCTTTGGATCACAAATCTCCCATGGTCCAATATCACGCGTTGGCCTTGCTTTATCTTATCAAGCAACATGATCGTCTCGCCGTTTCCAAGCTCGTCCAGTCGATGTGCCGCCAGGGTGTTCGCTCACCCATGGCTACAGTTTTGCTCATTCGCTACGTCGCACGCATCATTGCTGACGAACCCCCATCGCAAGTGCAAGATGCATACGGAGAACCAAGACCATTCTTTGGCTTCTTGGAAGCCTGCCTCAAGCACCGCAGTGACGTTGTCATTTACGAGGCCTCTCGCGCAATTGCAAATCTCCCCAACGTCACACCGACTGAACTGCAACATGCTGTCTCTATCCTGCAACGCTTCCTCGTCCAGCCCAAACCCTCTTTGCGATTTGCTGCAATCAGAACTCTCAACCAGATTGCCTCGACCATGCCATTGGCAGTAACCTCGTGTAACGCCGACATGGAGGTCCTCATTGCGGACCACAACCGCTCAATTGCCACCCTCGCCATCACTACCTTGCTGCGCACCGGATCAGAGAATTCTATTGAGAGACTGCTCAAGCAAATCCAAACATTCTTGTCAGATATTGCAGATGAGTTCAAGGTCAAAGTCGTCAGCGCCATCCACGCCCTTTGTATCAAATACCCTAGCAAGTACTACGCTTTGATGAATTTCCTTGGGAACGCACTTCGTGAAGAAGGTGGGTTCGAATTCAAACGGGCAATTGTCGACGCATACCTTGGACTTATGGACAAGATCCCGGAATCGAAAGAGACCTGTCTGTCACACCTCTGCGAATTTATTGAAGATTGCGAGCACACCCAGCTCTCTACCCGGATCTTACATTTGCTTGGGAAGGAAGGGCCTTCGATGCCAGAACCTGGGAAGTACATTCGCTACATCTATAACAGACTCATATTAGAAAACGCCACAGTCAGAGCTGCTGCAGTCTCGGCCTTATCAAGTTTCGCTGCTGGTAGTGCTTCCGAATCGCTAAGAAAATCCGTTGCGGTGCTACTGCGCCAGTCTTTGATGGACAGTGACGACGAAGTGCGGGATCGTGCGACGTTTTTCTCGAAGTCCCTTGGACTTGAGGCATACCAAAAGCATACCGGAGAATCTCGGAATCCTGAAGAAGTGTCAAAGATGCAGGAAGGGACGAAAAACATGCTGTCCCTTCCGTGCCCCATCGCGAATCTCGAGGCAGAACTCCTGCTCTATGTCGCATCGGGCAATTCTGAGCAGGCCTTTGATATCAGCTCAGTCTCAAAGGCTGCGATGATGTCAACGGCAGGCCATCCGACTTTGGAAACAGGCGACGCGACGAATCGACAATCCGCATTGGGCCGCGCTCAAAGGGGGCGCCCGACACCTCCCGCAGACCTAGCTGCGGAAGTTCTGAAAGTTCCCGATTTTACATCACTTGGAAGGCCATTCAAGTCTTGTCCCCCCAAGGATCTTACCGAAGCCGAAACAGAGTACACTGCCCAAGTCATCGTTCACTTGTACGAAAGTCATGTGATTTTGGAGTTCGTCTGTGTGAACACTCTCAATGACCAATTGCTTGAGAACGTCTTTGTGCAAGTGGATACGTCTGCGGCGTCAGGCTTGGGTGGAATGACGATTGTGCCTGCGGCACGTCTCGCTTACGGTGAGCCAGCCCGGAATTACGTGTCGATCGAACGAACAGATGATGGGGAATACCCGTTGGGTGACCTTGCATGCACGATGAAATTTATCGTGAAAGACGTTGACCCATCAACTGGAGAACCAGATGAGGAAGGATATGAGGATGAGTATGGCCTGGACGACCTGCCACTAACAATCTCTAACTTGATGGCGAAACCAGCCGAATTACCCGGTTCGTTCAAGGCTGCATGGGAGGCACTTGGTCCAGACAATGAAGTGGCTGATAGCTTTTTATTGGAGCAACACGATAACGTCGCATCTGCTGTGAAGGGGATGATGGCATTGTTGGGCATGGCACCATGCGAGGGTACTGAAGTTGCCAACGATCGCGCCAGAGGGCACATCCTGCTGATGACAGGTGTGTTCATGCCCGGTATTCAAGTAATGCTCCACTCCAAATTCACTGTGGCGTCGGATGGTGTGAATCTCGAGATTGTTCTGAGAAGTGAGGACCTATCTATCAGCGAAGTCCTGGCGAATTCAATCACGGGCACAGAATAGAGGTAACGCTCCATGTAATGAAAGATAAAGAATATGGCTTGTCCACAGACACTTCTCGCTTGCTTTTTCACGATGGCCAACTTCACTGGGTAGTGCTTTCACTTAGCGAATGCGCCGAGGATTGTCTGGCGATGGGAGATATCAGATGCGCTGTGCACGCTTTGCAATCCCTTTCAGTATATGCAGCATATGAAGATAACCTTAGCCTCAAACAGCGCTAACTTTAGGTGTACTACTCACGCGGTTTCCATGTTGATGCAGAAGAAACTCTTCACCACTGCAAAAGGGACGGCCTTGCCGAGTTTTACTTCTTCCGCTGGCTCTGTCCCGACATTGGTCGACGATTGCATGAACAGATGTGAGAAGGACATTAACACTAGCGAGGCTACTTCCTATTTTCCGTCTGTATCCAAACTGCACATGGCTGATTGGCTCGAAGACTTTCACAGTACCCTTCGAAGGACATCTACGAAGGATCCTTTACCTCATCGGCGTCTTTCTTCACGGTGACAGCCATCCCTCCCTTTCTTGAAGTCTACTCGGCGGTATTCATGAAAAAAACAGCCATTTTTTGGGGCTCGTGCCACTTTTCCCACACAATCAAGGCGGCAATGTACAGTGCAGTGTGAGTTTCTCGCAACTGCATTCCCCGTCGATCGTGAGGACCACTTAGGCATCGACCTTTCACGCAATTCGGGAGTATTTGAGCATGAATGTACGCATCTTCTCTTCTGCGACACGTCTCGGGCGTTTGATGTCAAAAAATTCGGGGCTCCATGCTTCAATCCGATCAATACAGGTAGCAACGGCTTCATCTTCTCGCAATTTTCAAGCAGTATCGACGCAGGACACCCACACACGAAACCCACACATCTACCTCTCTGGTATTTCTCTTGTGCTCGCATCTTCTGTGGCTGTGGTAGCACATGCAGAGGCAGCCACATCCCCCCCATCGGCGTCCATTTTGGATGATGAGCCGGTCGGTTTGTCAGTGCTGACCAAGACTGAGAATGCAACAGGTGTACAATTCCCGATAACCTTTAATGATGCTGGCACATTGCATGGCACGGGTGTGCGCCTGATGGGCGGTTTAGTTCGCGTGTATGCTCTCGGCTTGTACGCTGATCGCTCCGCGTTACGTGATGCTTTGTCGAACTGGAAGGGCTTTTCGCGAGAAGAAATCCTATCATCGGATGCTCTGTGGGATTCCGTTTGCGATGTGAATTCATCTTTCACGAGGACATTTAGATTTGTCGTAGTTCGTGAGGTCGGTGGAAGGCACATGCGCACTGGATTTGAGCGGGGTTTGGCGCCGCGCGTAGCGAAGGCGGTGAAGAAAGGAAGATGTAAACCGTCTGAGTGTAAGAAAGCTACTAAGAAGTTTGCCGATATGTTTCTCGGAGTTGGTACGATGAAGGTTGGATCGGAGGCTGTGGTAGTATTGGATGGAGACAAGGTCAGTTTAACGATCGACGGGCGTTGGATGGGGGAAGTTAGGAACCCGCAACTTTCATGGGCTATGGCCGACATGTTTCTTGGCGGAAATGCCGTTGCTCCAACATTGAGAGTTTCTGCTGCAGAGACTCTGGAGATGCTCTTGAGGGAATGACATTCATTAGGGCTACAGAACGAAATGGGCTCTTCAAACGTCTGCATATGAGTTGTCGAAAATGCAACCGTCACTCATAGTTGAACGTGATCCATCTAGTGCAAATTGATTGATACGATTGTCATTGTTCAAACCTCGACGACGCACGCGCACGAGCGAGGTTGGTCTTTTAATGTACGCCTAGTTGCGCCTCTTCTTCATCTCACTATCTCATTAGCACCCCGCCCTTCCGCCTGTAGTTTATCAGTATCGCGCACTTTTCTCGAGATCACCCTTCATATGACAGGGTTGGGGGCATGGCATCATTTGAACATCAGGGAAAGCACAGGACACCCCCTGACAGGTTTCATCATCATTTTCAGGCTCCTGTAAAATAGTCTGGGCTATACTAAATCCTGTTCACGGGTGTACTTCCCGTCACATCTTCCTGGGCATACACATTGTACACAAAAATGAACAAATATCTCTGAATGGAAGCCGAGCCTTTGCACAAGATCCCACAGACCTCCAGCCCTCCGGGACAAACTTGTAAGCTCAAGTCAGTCATCAAACAACGGTCAAACAACGGCCAAACAACCAAAGAATGTCCCTGGGTGAACGACCCTAAGTGAACGACCCCAGGTTTCCCGACTAAACAATCAAGCATTTTGTGAAATGGACGAAGAGCGTTCCGCTTCGCTCGTAACATCGCATCAACGTACAGGTCGGCAGTCCGCATTGGCATCTTCTGATGGCACTCTTGACGGCAGTAAGAAGGACATCGCTGACAATAGTTGCCGAGTCTACGTGATCGAAAAACCCCGAAGAGATCAGACCGTGAGGGAACACAGAGCGCTGTTCGTAGAGATAAGTCCGAAGCTACAACAAGGGCGCATCTTTGAAGTCACTGGTAATCGGACCAATATGAAATACGTAGACGAAGATGCCACGCCTCACACCTGCCCCAGATTCATATCCAAGACTTTGGTTGGAACAATACCCACGCAAAGCGTCAAGGCCTTTCGCAAAGTGTGCAAAGCGTGCCCCCTCCGAAAAGCCCAGCTACCATGGAAATGTGCAAGCGGCCTGCTTGTCAAGAATGGGTGTCGAACGCTATAATCGCCCTTTGTGACGCCGGAGTTGTAACCAAGAGTCGTGACTTCTCTCTTGCCCCCGAATCGGTGCAGTTGCAGTACCCGTAAAAGGCCTGCCTGTCCCGATGCCCAAAGCAATCTTGCAGTCACATTCAGCATAAGAAAAGTGCCTCTCAATATCCAACGCCCTTGTCCGTGTAAACTTCGTTCACGAATTGTACCTTTCTCATCGCGTCTCGTAGCAATTGTCAAAGTCGGTTGTAAAAGTCTTTAATAGGGATAACGTTCTAGCCGGATGATAGCCGCAATTTGCTGATGTAGCCGCACTAGTCTGGACACTTTGGGAACACGTCTTCACAGCATCTTCATCGAGTTTGAGGCAGATCCTGTAAGCACATTATGCGGCCAATCCGGTTGAAACTTTCGGACTTTAAAACGTCACGTCCGCACTGCTCCCCGAATACACCAAGCTCGCCGTCCCTCGCCCGGATCCTCTGGCTTCGGGGGGCTACGCGACTTCTTCATCACGCACATCCTTCTCGAACTGCATAGCGCAGAGTACCTGCGTATATCGCCAAAGGATCATGGTTTTGTGAAAACACTAATTTTGGACACTACTTCGAAGTATCGCAAAGGGGTTTTTTGCGAGCGCTCTTCGTCGCCCACTGCACATTGCATAGTACAGCACCCTCAGAAATTCTTTGTTCAAGGGGTGTATGTTCCCCTCCACGGCAGCGGTTGTGGCACTGCCGCCTGCCCTTGGAGGGCCGTGTTATTGGCACGCCGATCAGTCTTTAGATCTCGGCGGGTTAGGCACAAACCTGTAGCGACTGTCCACCGCAGAGACAGCATTTTCTTAGCCACCACTGGCCGGTTTGCAAGGCTGAAACATGATGAAGAAAGTTCCTGTGCAAGGGAATTTGAAGGAGGCACTGCGGCAGCATGCGCCCCACGTTGCCTGTGCGCATCAGGCCTCCTTGTTGAAAGAAGGTTTAGTGTCAAAGGTTGTGCTTGTGCCTGCCCCGGATTTGTCCAAATCCAAATCTGTTATTGTGAAATATGGCTACAATGTTGCGTCGCTAAAAAGAGAAGCAGGTGGTATACGTCTAGTCGCAAAAGAAACCTCTGTCCCTGTTCCGAAGCTACTGCGTACTCACATTGCCCAAGATGACAATGATAGTACTGTCATGTTCGTCGTCATCGAACAGGTTCCAGGTTCGACACTCGGAGAAATTTGGCATACTCTTGGCGTCGCAGGAAAATCAACAGTCATATCAGAGTTAGCAGAATATGTTTGTCAACTTCAATGCATTACGGCCTCGCACATAGCGTCTGGGCAAAACAAAATGCGTTGCAAGCTGTTTTTCCGAACCGTTCGCAGGGCCTTTCGAAACAGAGGAGGAAATGAACCAAGCTATCTTGTATTCGTATAACAATGCACTTCGTGGGTTCTTCTCAACCATGCTGGAAAATATGTTGCAGACAGGGCATCCAATTGTGTTTACTGTACTCACAATGATCTGCACATGGGAAATATCCTTGTCTCACGCGGTCACGTATCTGCAATTATTGATTGGGAGTGTGCAGGGTTTTACCCCAACTACTGGGAGTACGCAAGTATAATGTTTGGATCTCGATACAGCTATGCGGATGACTTTTGTATCTACCTAAAACGATTCTTTGTTCCACACGACTATCAGGCGGAGGTATACGTCCTTATCAATACGTATCTCTACTAAAGTAACGCCTGCGAGAACAACACGAGCGAGTGGAAGAGACATCAATACTGATGACAAGTAAAAGAAGGTACAGCATGAATGTCTGGACGCCCGTCGAGAACTCATCGGTGAAACGCCCAACATTTGCAGCTCTGATAACTCCACATGATATTGCTAGACGGCTTAGAACAAGGAGCTCTTCATCCTGATTTCATGGATAGTGACACTAACACAGAAGTAGCAGTGAAGTTGTCATGTAAGCACGCCCATGAAGTCTGCCCACATGGCGAAATCCTCGTAATATGGCTTCAGAAACTTCTGGACATATACTCCCCAGTCTGAGTCCCAATCGATGTTGCTAGTCGCGTTAATAAAGTCCCAATGTTCTGGATAATAGCCAGATTGTCCTCAATCTAGAATGGTCTGAACGCGACCATCTACTACTAGAACGTGGTTCATTCGTATATTTCCATGAGAGAAAACAACTTTGTGTTGACTGTGGAGGTTTGACAGCTTGTACGATTTAACTGGATCTGAAATTTTGGAACTGTAGGCAAAAGCTTCATTCATCTGTTGCTCGGTCTCAAAGGGACCCCGTTTTTGTTCTGGTATCTTCATAAACTTCGGATGACAACATAGGCCACGGTCCACACTGCCGATATACTTGCCGTGAATCTGGCCAAGCTGCCCGAAAAAGGCATGTAATTGTAATGAAAGTTCTTCCTTTTTGGCCACTTTGAGTGTGTCCCACACTGTGTCAAGAGGATGACCTTGGGCGTGGGCCATGACAATGTATGTCGTATCGCCCTCGACAAGTACGCCACGCAATTTCGGGACTGGAATGGTCGTCACGGAGGCAACAAGGAGCATGCTACGAGTTTCAGATTCGTGCACGCCTGTCCCAAACTTAACGACCACATCACTGCCGACTCTTACCACATGCCGGCTCTTACCACAGTTCTCTTTGGGTTGTTGTAAGCAAGAATGCAGCACGTGCGGACGCCAGGAGCTCCTACAGCATGTAGTGAAATTGCGCGTTGCAGTTCGTCCTCAATTGGTATCTCATCTCCGACGTTCAGCTGCGCTACTGGCAGCATTTTGCAATGGATCGATTGCTCTTGAAGCAACCGAATCGCTTCCTTCCAGACAAGTGGAAACCAGTCTTTCCGCGCACAGAAGAAACGACCCGCCGAGTACATTGCTGCGCAGCAGGGGCACCAATCTGCGATATGTCGCGGCAACCATGACCGCCGCGACGACCATGTACGCGACGATCAAACCGAACACGGCCTCCCTGCCCCACCCGCTCCACACGACGCCGGCGAGCAGGGCGAACACGACCCTGGCGACAGAGCCGCTAGCGGAGAAGACGCCGAGAAAGCCTCCGACGGGGAGGCCGGCGAGCACCTTTGCGAAGAGGGCGAGCACGGCCGTCTGTTCGACGGGGTACGCGACGCTCCATAGGTGGGGCGGGGAGGGTGAACGGAGGAGGATGGCGGGGGGGCTATCGGGGATGCATTTCGCGAGCGGGGGGGGGACGGCGAGTCAGCGGGACAAGAGGTGGATTCGCCGGGGGTGTGGATTTTCCGGGGATTCCCCAGAAAATCCACACCCCCGGCGAATGCCCCAATCCATATCCGATATGGATTGGGGCGGGGCTAAGGCGCGCGGCGGGGGTGCGCCGCAGCGGGCGCGATAGTGCCCGCACTTCCGGCGGCGGATGCGAAAAATGGAGCTTGTTGATTTATTTTGGTTGTCTCGTATTCTCCCCGGTGTCCGACCGTTGGGTACTCAGCTACTCTTTAAGTACCATGTTTCTGTGTGAGTAATACTCAAACACTCTCGGCAATGGTTGCTGATAAAATGCAGTAGCCGACCGGTATGATCGGTTTGATTGCACTTTCGTGCTGTGCATTGTTTTATGACAATGACCGTATTTACTGAAGCACCGCTGTAAGGAAAACCCACCTCAACCAGAAGTTCTGGTCCAGAACATATCCCTCTCGCTTCTCTCCTCCCTCCTTCTTCAATTCCTCCCTCCCTCTTCGCCTCCTCCCTCGCCTCCTCCCTCGCCTCCTCCCTCCCTCTGCCCCTTCAACCACCCCGCCATGACGGACGCCGTCCCGCGCAAGCCGCGCAAGCCGCGCAACACACGCCTCACAGCCTACTACGGCCTCTCAACGCCCGCCGCCACCCCGTCCTCCCCACCAGCCCCGATCCCGTCTGGCCGCGCGCGGAGGCGCTCGCTCACGCCACGCACCTGATGCGATCCCTGTATTTGCCTGCTCTGCTTCATCACAGCGCCCGCCTACGCCGCACCTCCGAGTCTCTCGAGCGCCACCAGCACGTGTCCACGCGCCGCTACAGTACTACGCCCGCCTGTCGTCCGCGTCGGACATCTCCCGCAGGGCGATTGATCACACCGCAGAAGGCCACGTTGACGAGCAGGCAGACGACCCAGGCTGCAACATCCGGACGCAGCGGCGCGGGCGGCGGCGTCTGCGGCACGTCTGACGCCAGGCCCGGGTTTGGGTCTGACTCAGCGTGCGCCGGTCGCGGGGCGCTGCTCGCGAGTCGCGCGGCTGCAGACTTGGCAGTGCGGGGCGCGGGGCGCGGGGCGCGGCGTGGCGGGGGATTGGATGCGGACGCTGGAGGGCGCGACGTGGCGGCAGATGGCGTTGGTAGGATTGTGTGTGGAACGCTCTGCAACTAGAAAAGGTACAGTGCTCCACTCTTCTGTCGGCAGCGGTGGTACGCACGAAAATGTGTCTACTGAGAAACTTCCCCAAAGAGCTGTGCTGTACGAGCCGATATGTCCATGTGCACCTAGACTGAACGACAAGGAACGAAGAGCACTATTCTGCCGACTGGCGAACATGAATGAATCTCAGAAAGGGAGGTTGGCACAACGCACAAATTCTAATTTCGTTTACGAGATCTCTGATTCGTGCGCAGCGTAATGTCAGGTGACCAGATGCCTTTCAAAGCAACTTAAGAAAGGAAGAGAACACCAGCAACTTCCGAGGTGACGAGAGTAGAGCTACTAGCTGTAGTGGTATTCGCCCTCGCAGCCTGAAGTGCCCTTGTTGAACTCTAGACAGCAAGGATTGAATATTGGATACGATCTTTCCAGACCTGATGAAAGGGAGGAGACAGAAGTGTGACAAGAGCAAGGCGAGGTAGCGAACACAGATTGGAGAGTTTCTGGTGTCAGTTGCAGATTTCCCTTGTCGCCCAAAAACATTTCCTGGATAATAGAAAACTTACAATCAATGTCATATTGGCGACTAACCTCTCCAAGCTTGGGAAGGCGAGGCTGCGCCGGAACAGCCGCAACTGCGGCCACAAGACTGGCAAGGAGGCAGATGGCGAGAGAGAACTTCATGGTGCAGAGGCGAAGAATTTGCTGAAGTGAGAAACGATTTGCTGTTGCAGACGATTTGCTGTTGCAGGGAAGAGATGAATGGGGAGGTTTTGTTTTCCTAGGGCAAGGGTTTTATACGCGTTTTGGGAAGTTGCATCCCAGCTACAGCATAGGTACTGCAGTGCTGCACTGCCTCCATATTGCGTGATCTCGGCAGACCTGCGACTTTCCTCGTTCGTACCAAGTTTTTATCACGAGAGGATCAAGTCACAGTTCATCGCCTGATTCCTTGCAATAACAAGCGGCCGTTTGTTTTTGTTTTTCACACAGGCCCACAAACAATACTAATTCTGTCCTCCTGGAGTTGGTACATTTTCTGGAGATTAGTACGCCAGATATGCTATAGTATGTGGTCCGGTACGCGAGAGATAATGGCATTGGCCTAAAGTTTTATTCTTGGGCGGGTTCTCCTTGGTTGTAAATCAACTTTTTTATCATACGCGACACGCAACCCATTTTTGGCCGTTTCAGCACGGGTCTGCATCATAAACACACCAATCAACAAGCAACGCCGAATCGAAGGGAGTTTGGATGCAAGACAATATTGCCGAATCGAAGGGAGTTTGCATCCAAACTGATTCGGCAATATTGTCTTGCATCCAAACTCCCTTCGATTGGACAGTACCCTTCTCACTGGCTCAATGTGGGACGCATAGGATGTTATGATAATATATGCGAATACAGTCCGTATTCGGGGAAAATTGCCTTTATTTGGCCAACAAATTTGCTTTCCAAAGTGTGGCAGGGTCAAAGTGGGACGACGGCAGACGACATGTGTTGCACGCTTCATCTGTAATGGGATAGTCCCAACAAAGCCGACGCTGCCGTGTGCTTTCGAATCCTCAACAACTCGCCTTCCTCAACATGCATCCGCTGTTTTCGGGCTCTTGGCCATCGCGAGATTGGCAAGTCGTCGCTAACTATGTCGTCGAAAGGCGACACGGCTAACTGCGCTTTCAGATGTTTCTGAGGGTCAATGTTTTCTTTGTTTGAAGTATCATTCTCTACATTATCCTCCTGAATGTGACAAACGTCGGCCACGGGCGATTTTAGAATAGTCCGCCCATCCAAGCGAGCACGAACGGACTTCAAAATGCCAACTGTCAAGAGGGCCGCTGAGTTTCCTGTTGCGAAGAATTGTCTCCTAGATTTCGTGGGTGTGCGGTTTTTTGGCAGGCATATATTCTTTGTTAGAATGTTACGCAAGACATACTCCCTATTGAGAGCGACAGAAACCTCGGCTAAAGCATGAGGAGCAGAGAACTGACCGTCTGTAAGAGCATCAATATTTTTCATCAAACGAATTGCTGAAATTCGTGGCGAGATAGCGCTGCCGTCTGCGTCATGAAGCATTGCCAACCCCATCCCAGGAGATTCCCCTTGGTTTCTGTTCAATTTTCGAGTGCTGTTGTCATCCAAAAATGACATGAAGCGAAAATCCATGTGCCAGAGCCCAGCTTCCCGAAACGAGGCTCTGGCGATATCTGAGGTTAGAGCTTTGTGACCAGCGACTGCCAGCTTAATTTTCACAGCCGTTTTTGCCCATGAGAAATGGCTCATGTTCAGCAATAAATCCCTTGTCCTACGTATTTCTTGTTGGAAAACTTTGTTAGTCTTTTGATCGCATGGTTGTAGCATATGGGTCCTGTTTGCCGGGAGCTTAACTGCCACAATATTGAGTCTTCTGCACGTTTCCGTCCACTCCACTCCCTCACGGGAGCTATGCCCATCTACGAGAAGCAGGATGTGTTCATCCTGCGAGACTGTTTTGCTCGCATGTGAATTAATGTGACACACAACACTGTTGATAATTTCACGGTCCATTGACCCGGCCTTTGTGACGCATAATGCTGTCTCTGGTGGGCACCAATGTTCCTCACCAAGCCAATGTAAAGATCCATCTGCGTGTTGGAAGTCATTTGAGTTAAGCGGATCAAGTTACGTGCGCGGAAGGAGCGTATCGCATCTGGAGAAGGAATGCTTTTTGCAAATCCTGGACGGCCATCTGCTGCTGCACGTTCTATAACGGACGTCAATCCAACATTGTCTACAGCAAACCCACCTCGAGCGGAAAAAGGCGGTCTACAATCAGCGACTCCTCCGCTGCATGGAGTATATTTCGTCTTCCCCGCAGGAACCGTTCAGGATCCATGAGTCGTTCCAGTGGTGCATGATCGGATGTCTTATGACTTTGACTTATTCGAAATGCAGTGCCTCGAGAGACGCCAGACATTGTCGCGACCTTCCGAATTGAATGGCCTTGCTGCACAAGTTCTAACGCCTTATCCCTTCTGCTAATCCCTTCTTGTCGCCGTCGGTGCCATTGCGTTTGGGCAAGCATAGACGGAGGCATCGGGAAGGGATAGAAGGGCCATTCGCGATGCCGTTCTGAAGGTTCTGGATGTCCTGGTGTACGTGGGGGTGTACTTCGCCGGTGCCATGCACGATCATATGCGAGAAAATATCCAGCGCGGCTACACGATAATTTCGGTGTCCCAATTTGAGCCGTGTCACAGATTGAGCCAGTGAGAGGGGTACTTGCATCCAAACCTTCGATTGGACAGTACAGTCGACCCTACGCATTAGTGCTGTGTCTGCCGCCACTAATTTGAGGGTGGCAATAATGAAAGCGGCACTATTGCGCGTCCCCCCCCTGTACAGTGCTGGCCAAAATGAGAGGGACACAGGCTATTCGCGCTTTGGCAGCTCCCTTTTGCTCCAATGACAGAAGGAAAGAGGCTCTGTACACGTATTGGGCGAGCTAAACGTGATGGAAAAGACGGTTTTATAGAATTAAAAAAGCCTTGGAGCTATAAGGCAAAAACTTGTTTACGGCATGGCCATAATGATAGGGAAAACAGGAACTAACTCGCGTTTTGGCGCAAAACGCAAACTGCGTTCCGCCTTCGTACCTGATTCCGACTCGTTGCGTCATAAACACGGCAAACCAGGCGCAATGCCGATTCGAAGCGAGCTTAGACGCAAGACAATGCCTTCGAACTTGCTTCGACTTGGTCCACGATCAAGGCCATGCATCGCTCTGTTAAGAACGGTACCATACTGTAGTCATCAAGGGCGCACTGGCCGATTGCTGAAGTCCGCACAGAATAAAAAATCTGTCTCGCTGTACTGTACAATGCGCACCTAGAAAGTGCGAAGATCTGAGATGTAGATGCAAGAGAAATAGAAACAGTACCAACGGTACTGTACAGAACGAATATCTCCATCTCCACAAGATACAGTACGATGTGGCACAGTGCTGTAGGGCAGGCCTGGACTCTTCGAGAGATCAATCGCAGGGATTGCTCAGCAACAGGTCAACGGGCTCATTCTCTTCAGATCAGGGAAGAATAGTGCTGCCTTAGGCGGACACTTCATACAGTACTAGGAAGGACTGGCTTCCTCGCTAACACGCTGCATGGGGACTACACTGTACCCTTACCCAGGGGGTACTGTACAGTATATCGTGCTGTGGAGAATAACTGCGAACCATTCTCTCGTATCGTGTACAGTATCATGGAAAGCAAGTGCAGCCCTTTTCGAAATGCTGATCCGCCTGCGTCAGGAGTATTCCTCTACTGTAGCGTCATTTCCGAAACTATTTTAACACGCACTTCGCGAGAGAACGGGATCAATTTTCGGACATCTGTTGTAGTCAATAAAATGTCCCAGTAGCTCATTGGCCAATCAATGACCACTAACCCGTTCATGGGGATGTTTTGAAGCATTTGAAAAGGTTTCAACGATATCGAAGCAACGCAAGTGGCCCAAATTCCGTTCTCTTTGCGGTCTTGTCCTGGTTCGGAGGGGGTGTCAAGATGGAATGTAGTCATCGATAGACTTTATCAAATTTCTAGTTTTCATTCAAATATTCATGTTTTTCGAGTTTCGCATGATCCCCACACTGAATTCAATGTGATGCCAAGAGTGGCCTGAAGTGCCCTCATTGTAGGTATTTGCACTGTCCTTCCAGCATTGTCCTTCCAGCACTGTCCTCCCAGCAGTGTCCTTCAAGCAAAAGGGCTGTGGTTCCACCCTAATAGGGCACCACCCATAGATAGGGCGCCGCCCTTAAGGCAGCGATAGGTTACACATAAATAAAGCCGCCGGCGCTCCGATCACCTTCGAGGGTCGGAGGCATCGGTCTGATCTTGGCATCACAGGTTATGGGCACCAAACACACCACTGACCATCGATCCGCAGCACACAGACAATCACTCTCAACGGCGATAAACGAGCGCAACGACTAACCCTCCACGCCTCCACCGTTTCTACTGCGACTACGACATGACAGAACCACAAAAATCACCTACAGGACAACTCCCAAGACTCGAGAGCAGCAACTTCACATATTGGTACGACGCTCTCGAGATCTACGCAAGGACGATCGACGCCGGCACCCACACCACACCACTCTGCACACCACCGATCCCGATCCAGATCAAGAAGCCGCACAGCAGCGCAAAGCGGACAAACTCCGCAAAGCAATAATGCAAAGCCTCACAACAAAAGTAGTTCGGATCCTTCCCCCACACGTACTGAGGTACGATCCACACATTATGCCGCATCATAAGCAGTGTAGTGGACACCTCCACGACCGAGCACCACGAAATACTGGACGCCGAAGCAAGGAGAATCGAGTACGTCCAAGGCACACAGCTACAGGACTATGTGAAACAACACAGGGAAATGCAATACAAAATGCAGGTCGCAAATTACCCAAATATCAACGAAGAACGCACCACCGTTCGATACATGCTCCAAAGCCTAATCCACCACCCTGAGATGAGTACACTGGCCATGGTGATGGCGGGCCACCCCCCGCCAACAATCCAGGCCTTCACAAACCATACGCAACATGTGGAACTCATGCAGGCCAATGCACCTGGATCACAGCACAGAACACAACACAGCAAAGCACCCCGCCGCACCCCAACACGCGCCCCACAGCAACGTCCGCCCGCAGGGAAACCCAGCTACACCAAACCAGCAGGCCACCAATGTCAATCGTGCGAAATACACGGCAGAATAACGCACACAACAGAGAACTGTTATGCACGCAGATACAAACCGCGAGCAACTCGCCCACGCGCGCGCACAGCCCACGCTGACACCGACGACGCGGCGGAACCCACCAGCCCCATGCACGAGTTGCAGGATCTGCTGACGGCACTCGAAACAACGCTATATGACACCGGCGAAACCAGCGATGGTAAGCAACCTTTCATACTGGACTCCGGCGCAAACCCCCACGCATACCGCTACACCCCACCCATACCGCTACACCCCACGCGTCGATGCAAAAAAGCACCGGGACACTAACTACAACTGTCACGGGCCATTGCGCACCAATGACACACACGGGGCACATAACTATCGCACAGAGGAATAAGAGAATCACTGTACCGGCCGTTCACGCACCCGAAATCAAGGAGAACCTCCTTTCAATGTACGACCTCACTGCCCACGGCCAAGTGACATTCTCAAGAACAAAGGCCATCCTTCACAAGCCTCGAAAATTACCACAAGCGATTCTCACAGCAACGTACAGTAAGAGTCAATACAGAGTCGACCAACACGCCACAGCCTAAGGAGCGCGAAAATACTCTCGTAAAACCCCCACAACGAAAACGAAGCGAACCAGAGCCACCCCAACAACAACCCCGAGCACACCCCCCACGCGCAGCACACATTCCCAATTCCTCCGCATACAACCGCCGCGTGCCCAAAGACAAACACCCACGCTCCGAACCGCCCCTGAACCACACAAAGCAAAACGCAAAGACACAACGGCACAACAACAAATGACTGAGTGGCACCTCAAACTAAACCACGCACATCCCAAAACAATAGCACTCATGTCCAAAAACAGCTACTCCCTGGAATGCCGACAGGACTCAAGGACAACAGCGCCACAATGACATGCACAGGCTGCATCAACGGCAAGACATCATCACGCCCGCACAAGCGCACATCCCACGACACAGAACGAGGCCTCAGCCTATCGTCCGACGTATGCAACCCAATTAAGCCTACGTCCAACCACAATGCAAATTACTTCCTCACTGTTATTGACACCCCCACAATATACCTATAGGCACACAACCTCAACAACCGCGCGGAAGTACCACAAGCAATCATAGAGGCAATAGACCATGTCGCAGCAGAAAAAGGACACCACCCGCATCTCTTGGTAACCGACAATGCTAAGGAATATCATGCGAAACAAGTACAATCGCAACTCCAACAGCGAGGCATAACGTACCGCGCAACCACACCCTACACGCCGCAGGAAAACGCGCTAGCTAAACGCATAAACAGGACCCTCATGGACGAAGTCCCGGCAACACTGTCCCACAGCCAACTGCACGACGTACACTGGCAAGATGCCCTCAATGACTCCGTGTTCAAGTACAACATTACGTACCATCACAGCATCCAGAACACATCACACCGACGGTGGTACGGCGAAGCACCTCGGCACAAAAAGTCTTCACGTTCGGGCAACTTGGCTTCACGCCAATCCTCAAACCGCACATGCCAAAGCTGCACGCCAAAGCCGCGCAATAGAGGTATATGTATGGAATTCATGAAACGCACATCTGCTTCCAAAACATCCAAACACGACGCTACACAAAAATTCGTGCCATTGACTTCCGACCATACGAACGGCAGCACGACCCGTGCCACACCACAAACACAGTATACCACGCGCAAAGAACGACACCGCGCAAGAAACGAGGAAAGCGTAGCACCAACAAAACCAACACCCCGGCAACGGCCACCAAGAAGCAACGAAGCAAGAAGCGCACGAGCACCATACC